GGCAAAAGCGAAGGCAAAACAAAAGCATAGCATAGCATAGCATAGCATAGCATAGCATAGCATAGCGCAGCATAGCATAGCGCAGCATATCATAGCATAGCATAGCATAGCCTAGCCTAGCCCAGCATAGCATTGCGCAGCATAGCATAGCATAGCATAGCATAGCATAGCTTAGCATAGCATAGCATAGCAAAGCATAGCATAGCATTGCTTTCCTAGAGGCTCCAACTCCTAGGTAGGGTCGCACTGGGATAATTTGAAAGTATGAAGCGTTCTCGCCGTTTCGGCTTCCTGCCGCTCCCATACGGCCCTAGACGCCCCCAAGACCGCCCCAAGACCGCCCAAGAGGCCTCCAAGAGGGCCCCCAACCAAGAGGCGCCCAAAACTGCTCAAGAAGAGGACCCCAAGGCGGCCCCAAGAGGGGCCCAAGGGGAGGAACACGAAGCGAAAGTCCGAGCCTTCCGCCCCAAGAGGCCCCCAGGAGGCCCCAAGAGGCGCCCAGTGGCCCCAAGAGGCCCCCAAGAGGCCCAAACCGATGCCCCAAGAGGCCCCCAAGAGGCCCAAAAGAGGCCCCTAGAGCCTCCAAAACAGCCCCCAAGAGGCCTCCAAACTGCCTCCAAGAGGCCCCCGAGAGGCCTCCACACGAGATCCCAACGAACATCCAGTAGGCTCACATCCACAACCCAGGCACGGGCGAGATGTCCGCCGCATCCTGTGGTCGTGCCACAAGGTTGCCTGGCGTGCTGAATGTATTACGATGTTGGATTTGTTTTTTCCCAAAGAACCCGCCTCGGTCTATTGCGCCAGTCACCCCGAAAGGCCGCACAATTACCCAATCGCCTCTAATACAGCCAAGATGCCCAAGATGGCCTCCAAGATGCCTTCAAGACGGCCAAGATGGCCTCCAAGACGGCCGAGATGGTCTCCAAGACGGCTAAGATGGCCCCAAGATGCCTCCAAGACGGCCAAAGATGCACCCCAGACGGCATAAGATGGCCTCAAGATGGCCCAAGACGGCCCAAGAAGCCCCCAAAAAGCCTTCAAGACGGACCAAGAGCCCCCCAAAGGGTATGCAGGAAGGCCTGAAGAGGCAAAAATCATCGATGGTAAGTCGGTTGTGAAGGATTGTTGTATTGGCTGCTTGTCGGCCTTCCGATGGACCAAGACGGCCCAAGACCCCCCCCCCCAAGATCGTCCTAAAATCACCCAAGAGGCCTCCAAGATGGCCCTAGTACGGCCCAAGAGGCCCCCAAGACGGCCACAAGAGGGCCCCAAGACGGCTCAAGAGGCCTCCAAGACGCCTAAAGTGGTCTCTAAGACGGCCCCAAAGTGCCTCAAGAGGGCCCCAAATCGGTTCAGAGAGGCCCCAAAGACGGCTTCCGACAGCGTCAGACGGGCCAAGAACGCCCTAAGACGGCCAAAGAAATCCACAAGAAGCCCCCAAAGGCCCCCAAGAGGCCCAAATAGGCCCCCCAAGAGGCCTCCAAGAGGCCCTCAGGAATCTCCCAGGAAGCTCTAAGAGTGCACCAAAAGGCTCCCAAGAGCTCTCCTCCTCCTCCTCCTCCTCCTCCTCCTCCTCCTCCTCCTCCTCCTCTTCCTCCTCCTCCTCCTCCTCCTCCTCCTCCTCCTCCTCCTCCTCCTCCTCCTCCTCCTCCTCTTACTCCTCTTCCTCCCTCCCTCTCCTCCTCCTCATCCTCCTCATCCTCCTCATCCTCGTTCCTCTCCCCCCTCCTCCTCCTCCCTCCTCCTCCTCCTTCCTCTCCTCCTCCTCCTCCTCCTCCTCCTCCCCTCTCCTCCTCCTCCTCCTCACTCCTCTCCTCCTCCTCCCCTCCCCTCCTTCCTCCTCATCCTCCTCCTCCTCCTCCTCCCTCCTCTCCTCCTCCTCTTACCCTCCTCTTTCTTCCTCCGGTTCCCTCCCTCATCCTCCCGCTCATCCTCCTCCTCCTCCCTGACATCCTCGTTCTCACCCCCTCCTCCTCCTCGCTCCTCCTCCGCCTCTCCTCCTCCTCCTCCTCCTCCTCCTCCTCCTCCTCCTCCTCCTCCTCCTCCTCTTCCTCCTTCTCCCTCTCCTGATCCTTCCCCTCATCCTCCCCCAAGTGTTCACAGAAGAACGTCCAGAGCGGCTGGGGGAATACATAGTCCGATGGCTTGGCCAAGCTGACGCCAAACGTTTGGCCGCAAAAGCGCGTCCCAAAAAAGAAGTGGCGTCTAGTTCCCACCATGGGCGCATCGCTGCATCGCTGCAGATTTCTCAGTTCATTCACCCTCGATAGCCCACAACAAGAAAGACGAGACCGTTTCGGAAGATGTTCCCCCGAGCCGCGCAGGTCGGCTTCGGGGAACATTTGCACCAGCCACTGAACTCTGCATACATATGTGTAGAGGATGGTTGGACGAACAGCAGACGACGTGTGCGGGCAGCTGGGCACGGCCCTGCCGTGGAGAAGCACGCGGGGTGCCTGGGCATGGCCGTGCTGTTCTGCTGCAGAGGTGCCCCCGGCTGGGCCCTCCCCTGAGCTCGAGACAGCTTCTGCGGCTTTTGCGAAGGATTGCAAAAAAACCCAGGATTGCAAAAAAACGAAGGATTGCAAAAAAACGAAGGATCCTTCGAGTAGGGTTTTTTTTGCAATCCAGGGTTTTTTTTTGCAATCCTTCGGGTTTTTTTTGCAATCCTGGGTTTTTTTTGCAAACCCAGGGTTTTTTTGCAATCAAGGGTTTTTTTGCAATCCTTCGAGACAGGATACCCACCACACTCCATGAGCATAGAGGGCGCTCGTGGTTAAACCACGCGAGAAGAAAAGCCAATCACATATGGGCTGGCTCGAAAAAGGACCTCGCCGCTGAGGAGGTCCCCCCAGTCAGAACCGGGATCACCAGGAATCCAGGCCCGTGAAATGCGGCCCTGCCCGCTCGCCGCTGTCTGCGCACGGCTGCGCCTGTGCACACGAGAACTC